GCGATGTTCGGCAATGAACTCCCATTCGTTTGTTTCAATATTGGCTTCCCTCATGCTTCGTTTGCAAACGTCAATAAATCTCAGGCGCGGTCGTCCAGTATGTCTTGTCCCATCTGCCAACTCTCCACACAGCAGAATCTTTGGGAGACGTCCTTCCTCCATTCTCCGTACATGAACTAACCAGCGAAGGCGTCTCTTGATTAGAAAGGAGAATATGCTAAACATGTGTGCACGTTCCAAGACCTCCACGTTAGGCACCTTGTCCTGCCAACGAATGCGCAAAATGCGATGCAGACATCTTTGATGGAAGCTGTTGAGTTTCCGCTCTTGACTGGTATGTGGTCCACACTTCGCTAACATATAGGAGCGTGCTAAGCACGCATGCCTGATAGACACTTATTTTTGTTTTATCAGTTAGATTGGGATTATTCCACACCCGCTTATTCAGTTTAGCCATAGTTGCTGCTGCTTTTGCAGTCCTGATATATATATATATTAAAGCTCACGTTTCTTTTATTGATCCAAATTAATGAAAATATACTTGATAGCATTGCAAAATAGTCATTCTCAGCTCACAATATAATGAACAGCAAGCAAGCAAATGATACAAAGAACGCAAATTTAAAGTAAGACATTATCAAGTATTTTTAAAATCTCAAAAGCGAGTAGCCGTCTTGTGTCTCAAAACATCAACTCGATTACTTACAAGAACCTTGATTATAAGATTATAAGAGTGATTATTTCAGATTATAAAAGCCGTGGAAAAACACATGTGGAACTCTGTGAACGTTTGGGCGTGCTATGAGTTATTTTATATATTTTTGTCCCGAGTTATAGGGAAAGAATTCACCATTTCGAGCTGATAATATGTGATAAAATATATAAGGTTTTTAGAGCGTATAAAGTGCATAGAGTGTTCAGGGTGTATAGAGTGTATAGGGTGTGTTAAGAGTATAGAGTGTGTTAAGTGTATAGAGTGTATAAAGTATATAGAGTGTATAAAGTGTATAGTGTATCCTCCATTTATTAAAATATTTGCATTACAGATGGGATTTACTTTAGATTATTAATAAATCAATTTGTACGAGTATTCAAAGATAAAACAAACAAACGACATTTTTTTAGTTTGTGTTTAATGAGAAACGATCGTGTCTATTTCATTGTATGGCAGGGTTTCTCAACCCGGGGTGCTCACAGCCTCAAGGGGGGGGGGATGGCGATAGAGCATTCCGAAGAATTGTGATTTTAACGATATATTATTTCAGGGAAAAGTACAGAGTAACATTGAATATAATGTTATGATAAAACCTGTTATAACTTTAAAAAAAAAATAATTAAAATCCTTCATTAGCAATTTACTTTATATAATAAGCCGCATGGTGTTTTTTCCCCCTCTAATTCTCTGTGTAATTTATTTCTTAAAAAAAAATTACAAGTTCATTAGTTTCCAACTTTAAAATCCTCTGCTACTTTTTTTTGTAAGAGGTGCAAGAGTCAGATGAACAATTATTTCGTAGGCGGTGAAGAATATAAAACAAATTTGGGGAGAACTTGTAGTAAGGGATTAAACCATCCATCGAGGGTGCCATGGGGATGGGGGTGCGAGGGGTTGTCCAGTTTAGATACAACTCCTTAATTGATAGGTGTGAAAGCAGTTTTACCATCTCCTTTTATTCCCGTCATCTTGCTAATTTTTAACGGTGTTTCGCATTAATCAGCTATATTTTGAACCTTTCGTCCTATCCAAGCGAGACCTTGCCTATTACAGAAACCTTCAATATCTTAGCTATTTAGTCACCGTTTTAGTAGCACTTTTGTACATCAGTTTTCTAAGCAAGGATTAACGTATGATTGAACTAGAATACTTTAAGAAAAAGTTTAAAAAATTTTTTACACATTATTATCTTCCATTCTAGAAAATTCCATTTTTATTTTGAGCTCAAAACGTTATTCATTATTTACAAATAATTCACAATTAGAAATCTAATTAATTTTGACGCCAACTACTTGACTACAAAATTCATCTTTAAAAAAAACAAAACATCTGTTATTCAACATAGCTCACTGTTTTGTGAAATTGAAACAGATGTATCACTGGGTAATGGAGAATAACAAATCTGTTGTACAAGCCGGTGGAACTGATCTGGCGTTGATTAGCGACGAGACGCTGCAGACGTTGATTTTCATCGACTTCGTCGTGCTGTCGGGCGCCGTCAGCGTCCTCGGCATCGCCTTCAACATCATAAACATCATCGTTTTCAACCGGCTCGGCTTCAAGGAGACGACCAACATCTCGCTCATGTCCCTCGCCCTGGCCGACCTCTTCGTGCTGATGATGATGGTCGGGTACAGCGTCATCTACAACCCGCTCCTGGTGGCCGCGGTTCAAAACCATGAACTCGTCGAGGCGCTGGATTACCTCGCAGTGGGCTGGCCGCTGCTATGCTTCAGCAGGGTATCGGGGTGCCTGACGGCGTTCATCAACTTCGAGAGGTTCCTCTGCGTGGCGCTGCCGCTCAAGGTCAGGGTCATCATCTCGTCGCGGAGAACCATCGCGGTGTCCGTCGGGATAATCACTGTCGTCATCGCCTGCACGCTTCCTGCGTTCTACGCCACAGGGATCGGACCGCGCTTCAGCGAGGCGCTGAACAGAACGAACGTCGGGCTGTACTTCAAGCCGGACGGGCGTCTTCTCGAAAATGTGTACCTATCCATCAACGTGTTCTTCCAGCTCGCGTCATTCGCCTCTGTGGTGATCTTCACGATCGGCTTGATCCATCAGTTCTGGAAGAAAACAAAAAAGCGGAATCTGTTGGCCTGGTCGTCGGGCGCGAAAAGCCCCGCTCTGTCCGCACGAGACAAGCGAATGGTGAAACTGGTCGTTTTGATATCAGCCGTTTTCATCGGTTGCTCGCTTCCCGGAGTGGCCGGAATCATCGCCATGTTTTTCACGGGTGAATACAGCAGCACGGGACGCTACAAAAACCTCTTCTTCGCCTCGTTCTCAGCGTTTTTTCTGCTGGGGGCTCTGAACTGCTCTGTGACCATTTTCATCTACCTGAAGATGAGCTCGAAATACAGACTCGTTTTCCAAAGTCTGTTTAAGGTGGCACGGCGAAACCTGTTGTACAAAATAATAGCCGCAGGGTCGAAACAATCAAAATTGTTCCAGTAGCCCTAATATCAGAAATGTGTCTCCGATTTTCTGAAGGTGAACGATTTGGTTCCGAACCGGTTAAACGGGCGACTTTGACCAGTTTTTAAGCAAACATACCAAGTTGTAGAAAGAAGGAAAATTCAAAAGTAAAAGAAGGAATTAAAAACAGTTTCGTGTTTTGTTTTTTGCTTTTTTTTTGGTGTTGTTTTCTTTTGTTTTTTGAAAGGGAAGATGGGCTAGTGACCATCTATTTTGAATATAAGAGTTATTCATAAAGGAATTACGCACCTATAGGCGTCGAGGCGAAGGCGAAGGTTACTTATATTGAATTATACACAAATTTATGAAGCCCTCCTTCCAAAAAAAAAAGAAAGAAAGACAATTCGCTTATATTTTAAACTTTTGTCAGACATCTGTACTAAAACTTTGAGTGATATGTCTAACAAAATCACAACATTTTAATACAAGTGATATCTTCTTCTCAATGAAAGGTTTATTAAAAGTAAAGTTTAAACTATTTTTGTTCTTCATTTTATGACTAATTACAACGTGTTATGTTCCTAGCTTTCTTGATTAGTCGGTTTATTCAGTGTTTAATATCAGACGATGAATTCCTACACAAGCAGGTAATACTGAAATTGAATAGGCTTCCACTTGTTGCACTGTAGAATAAGTTAACGACTTGTTTGTTTACGTTGAAATTGCACAGTTTTTTAAGGGAGAAAAGTCTTTTGTTGAATTGTTTATACAGCATTTGGCCGTGCTCATGCCATGTTAGCTTATTATTTATGGTGACATCTAAGTACTTACATTCTTCTACTTTCTCTACTCTTTGATTTTTTATATTGAGATCTGTTTTCAGGTGTTTCCCCCTCCTGAAATCAACCATTTCCTTTTTGGATTTTTTTTGGAGACATTCAGCTAGAGAAAATGGTTATCACACCAATCGATAAAGCTAGCTACTTATAATTGATGTATAAGCCTTCTCCCTCACATATTAAGCCAACGATGGATATAATCTTAACCCAGAGATTCTCAATTTTTTAATCACGTGACCCTCTTTTAACATTGCCCACGTTAAGGCTACCCACAAACACTAAAATACCTTGCAATTCAGAAACAGTTGTTGAGAAGAGGAGATGCGGGCATTTGTTGTAGATAAAGGCTTTGCTACTGTAATTTTTATCAGGGGCAGAAAGAAGCAGAAATGATAGCTAAGATGGGTGAAGGGTTCTGTAAGGGGGGGGGGGCGGGGGGCTCTTGACAATAAATATGTATTTCTTTTTGTTAAATTCTCACACTTGGTTATAACTTTGGATGGAATCTGCCATCTTTTAAGTTTACGCCCAAAAATAATAGAGGTATGTAAAGAAAACAACATACAATGTAATTAAATCAAGAACATCAAAAGAAAATGCTAAAATATTTATGTCAGGTTCACTGCTGACATCTACCAAATGAATCAGAGGTTTAAAAAAATATTTTCAACAGTGTAGTCAGAGTGTAATAAGTTTCAACCTGATTAGTTGACATAATGCTCTGGTTTCAACCTGATTAGTTGACACAATGCTATGGTTTCAACCTGATTAGTTGACACAATGCTATGGTTTCAACTTGATTAGTTGACACAATGCTATGGTTTCAACTTGATTAGTTGACACAATGCTATGGTTTCAACTTGATTAGTTGACACAATGCTATGGTTTCAACTTGATTAGTTGACACAATGCTATGGTTTCAACTTGATTAGTTGACACAATGCTATGGTTTCAACTTGATTAGTTGACACAATGCTATGGTTTCAACCTGATTAGTTGACACAATGCTATGGTTTCAACTTGATTAGTTGACAAAATGCTATGGTTTCAACCTGATTAGTTGACACAAGGCTATGGTTTCAACTTGATTAGTTGAGACAATGATATGGTTTCAACTTGATTAGTTGACACAATGCTATGGTTTCAACTTGATTAGTTGACACAATGCTATGGTTTCAACCTGATTAGTTGACACAATGCTATGGTTTCAACCTGATTAGTTGACACACGTAGTATAGTGTGTCATTTTCAACTATTATCTTGAGTGAGACCTTTGAGGACTTATTCGATGTGCAACTACGGTGCGCAATAGACAAGATAAATGAAAGAGAAAACCTTGCAGGTTTGTTGTATTTCAAAATACACCCTAGAGTTCTGAGATATGATAAACGACAAAGAAAAAGGACCCTTCGACGTCAAGAGACACCTGTCGTATCATCTTCGACGGTACCCCTCATCCGTTCCCTGTGAGGAGTTTGAGTATGACCGGCTCTTTAAAGATTCGGATCCATTCCAATCATCCCATTTAAACTGTATGAAACCTCCTTGTTCTTGATGTTGTTGTGTGCAATTAGTCTTAGAATTAATTCGAAAAAGAAAAAAAAATACAACCTCATATGAACACTGACTCTCACATGATGAGAACCACTCATAATAAAGCTAAAATAAAACCACAAGAATACCCATCAAAGGCTATACACACATTGAGAACCATCCATTAAAAATAAACACGGCGAGAGACGCAGTCCATCAAAGATTATATACTCATATACACATTTTTTTTTTTAAAACTCCCCCCCCCCCCACAAAAAAAAAAAAAAAAAAAAACACAAAAAAAAAATATAAAAAAATAATAAAATAAATAACCCAACAAGGATAATAATTACAAAATCTTCACACAGCAAGAACACTACAAACCTATTAAATTATCACACTACAAGAAACTGTATTTAAAAATACACATTATTATTTATTTATACAATATTAACTTATTGAACACAACAAGAATAATCAATACCTATTGAAAATATACACTAAAAGAACACCAATGAAACCATCAGAAAACACGGCCACTCATTAAAATACCAAGTACAATACAATTAATACCTATTAAGTTATCATACGACCCACCAATTATTACAAGTTACCTCAGTAAAAACCAATTAAAATGTTAAAAAACAATCAAGACAAAAATTAAAAACGTATCACAAAATCAAAAGAGATTATTAATTAAAAGCAAATTTAAAAGTAATTAGGGGATTATTGCCCCTTAATTAACGCATATACTTCCTTTGTCATTACCCGCCATAAACCTGGCGGCGCGCCTATGCTCTTTTGCGCCTCCAACGATGCCAAGAACCTCCCTAAAACGACATACTATATTACTGACACAAAACTCTTGTTTCAACCTAGGGCGCAGAATGCTATGGTTTCAACCTAATTAGGTCCAACAGTGCTCCGGTTTTAACCCAATTAGGTGGTATAATGCTCTAGATTTAACCTGTTTATGTGAAACAATGCTATTAACTTCAATAATACTAACGATCAGTACATAGGTGACAATGCTGGCTTAATTATATTTGTATAAATGTCTATGTGTTGCGTATGGGTAGAGAGACCGTAAGGGGCGTGTCTCTGTCTTTCTATTTACTGAACTGCCGTTGTTGGTGACAACCAGGGGTCGACCAGGTAAAAATGGGGGTCTTGCACGTCGAATTATGTTTGTGTGTATGGTACCTTAGTAATGAGATATTTTTTTTCAAGGGGTGGATTATTAAAGCTTATAGATTGAGTTAAATGAAACATATTTATCTTCAAACAAACTTTTTTCAGTCATGTATTCTAGTGCGCTCTTAAGAGAAAGAGAGAGGGGAGAGAGAGGTAGGGAGAGATAGGGGATGGGGAGAGAGAAAAGTTAAGATTCAAAGATAGAAGTCTGAGTGAGAGATAGAAGTGAGAACGAGATATAGAAGAGGGCATGAGATATAGAATAGGTGTTAAAGAGAGTGAAAGATATATGTAATATATAAACACTTACAAACAAGATCATTACAAAGAAGAAAAAAAAGTATTCCAAATATATCTTAACTTACGCCTTACAACCAAGTTGTTGAATCGCTAACCATTTCAATCGTCACGGTAAACATTTAACCTGTTGACATGCCTATCAAACATAGTTTTGTAAAAAGAAATATTTAATAATTTATATTTTTTGTTAATGAAAAATTCTACCACCTTATGATGAAACAGACACGGACGTAAGGGTCTTTCGTGCCAGACTAAGTCTGATCTAGCGAGACAGTTATTACCTCCTCTCTTGAGTAAACCCTTTGAAATCAGACAGACTCGAAATGGCACCAAAAAATCCATTCGCCTCGAGTTGTCTGTAAACCACAATGACATGTTTTAATGTAATCTAATAAAAGAAAGAATGTTCATCGACATTCCCTAGGGGCTCTGAAAGCTTCAGTTCGGATTGCTCTTTGAACTACACAAAGTAACAAGTTACTCATATTATGCTGATTGCTACTTGAAGGATAATACATGAAGGACTGCCATTATGCTGTGTAATGAATGAAAGACTGCATTCAAGCTGTGTAATAAATGAAGGACTGCATTCAAGCTGTGTAATAAATTAAGGAAGGGGTGCATTCAAGCTGTGTAATAAATTAAGGACTGCATTAAAGCTGTGTAATAAACGAAGGACTGCGTTAAAGCTGTGTAATAAATGAAGGACTGCATTCAAGCTGTGTAATAAATGAAGGACTGCGTTCAAGCTGTGTAATAAATGAAGGACTGCGTTCAAGTTGTGTAATAAATGAATGACTGTTAAAGCTGTGTAATAGATGAAGGACTGCATTCAAGCTGTGTAATGGATGAAGGACTGCGTTCAAGCTGTGTAATAAATGAATGACTGCGTTCAAGTTGTGTAATAGATGAATTGCCTCTGGCAATAAGGATAATGTCGATCACTTAAGTTTTTTTTTTTTTTAAACTTCTTTCCATCTCTTGTTATTTCTTCATTTGTCTTTTCTGCTGAGGTAGGCGCTTGGTCGAAACGTTCTTTTGTTGTCCTGTTTTTATATTTCAATCTTCCACATACCTTGTTCCATTATTTGCTACTTAAAGCAA